CCCCCCGGCCATCAGCGAGTGTATCCGATGCTATTTGGCCGTGTCCTACTGACCTGGATTGGGAACTGCGGACATTTGGGACTCCGGCGTTTGTGCTTGGCAGGCCTTGAGTCTGTGGTTGTTGTTGTTGTTGTTGAGGTTGTGTGTATGTTTTGTTCACCAGCACACGAGCTGCTAGATACAGATAGTGTTGGGCTGGTGACTTAAAGTATTCATCATCATGATCATCATCACCATCGTAATCATCATCATCATCATCATCATCGTCATCATCGTCATCTCAGACATTAAAACAGCAATTTAAAAGAGACAAGAAAAGAAGAATCCAAAAGAACAATCCTTTAACTCCCTCTCCCCTCTCTCCCTCCCTCCAGGCACACGAGTGTACAGCCCGCCAGAGTGGATCTGTAACCGCCTGTACAACGGTCGTCAGGCGACAGTGTGGTCACTGGGCATCCTTCTCTTCGACCTGGTCAATGGAGACATTCCCTTCGAACAGGATGAGCAAATCAAGGCCGCTCAGCTCCACTACAAGACATCTCTCACCACTGGTACGTCACCACTTCACACGGTTTTCTTTTTCTTTCTCTGTGTGTTCTTTTTTACTTGTTATTACATGTCTAAATTTTATAAAAGGGTTTTGAATGTTTTCAGAACACTTTTTGGAGGTGATTTTGGGAGGGGGGGGAGAGAGAAGACAGACACTACTGAACAATTAATTTGGTTTTTATTTTACTTAAAGTATGTTTTGAGATTGGTTATTTTGCTATGGTCTTTTGCCTGTTTTTTTTTTAGTATTTGTGTTTGTTTTAAATGTTTGTGTATGTATAAATGTTTGTTTATGTGTAAATGTTTGTGTATGTGTAAATGTTTGTGTATGTATAAATGTTTGTGTATGTGTAAATGTTTGTGTATGTGTAAATTGTTGTGTATGTGTAAATTTTCTGATGACATATTGGAAGAATACCATATATTCCTTTAATGGTCAGATCTGAAAGTTTACGGAATGTTTTCTCTCTCTCTCCTGCAGCCTGCAAAGACTTGATCCGCAAGTGCCTTTCCATCGACCCTCAGCAGCGCCCCACTCTAGAGCAGATCCTGCAGCATCCATGGATGACCCGCGTATCCGTGCCGGACACCAGCAACAGGAGAAGGACCAGCCCCACGGGGAAAGTTCTGGATGTATCCACAATGAGCAGTAACGAAAGTCTTTGATCTACACTGTGGACGCTAGAAACACTTTCTCAATTTTTAATTTATTCAAACACAGGCGACAAAATGCTAATGAGACTGTTGTGCCCCTGTATAGGGCTCCAGTGATTACAGCTATGCCACGGAGGGCCAAACCAATGACCTTGAGGTATTACACCGCAGAGGCCAAAAGGTTGATCCCTCGGAGGGTCAAGGTCATTTGGCAACAACAACAGCAGCAACAACTACATCGTCCTCTGTGAGGAGGAATATTCGTGGAGAAGGAGGTCAACTGTTGACCTCTCGGTTGATCGCCTCCAGCAAAGTCCAGCAGTTTGTTCGTGCGTGTGCCAGTGAGGATTTCGTCCTTCCAGAATATCTCTCTCTCGATGGGGGGAAACAACAACTGTTTTTATCAGTGAGATAAACGCCCCAAACATGCGCCTTATATCGGTCGCACACTCACACGCACGTGCGCAATTGGTTTGCCGTGAGGGTAGTAGTTGTACAACTTCTACTACTACTTCTTCGGTACCACCTGCCATGCTGAAAAGTCCCTCATTTCATCCAGAGCAGATTTGTCCCCCCCACCCACCCACTCGTTTTTTCATCTCAGATGATGACTGGTGGTTTGGGATGGGTCGAAGATCGGTGTTACCAACGGCGTTCTGATGTCTGTTTGCCGGAAAATTTCCTCGCTCGTCGGCTCATCTTCCTGTGTGCGGTAAATGACAATTACAAATGTGATAAAACAACAACAAGCAAGACATTCTTAGACTTTTTGCCCTAACGCCGGCGAGACGGACTCGCGAACTCAGTCATCCAGACTGAGCAATAAACAGTGCAAAGTGACTCGTTTATTTCCTCCCTCCCTCCCTCCTCCCCGGCACAGAATCGCCAAGACACCTCTTCAAACGCCTGGATATTAGTCGGACGCATGACAGAGCGAGGTCTCGGATTTTAGAGATGTGTATCTCATAACCCCCCCCCATGCCCTTTATCCTCGGTTCAATCTGAGTTTGCTTTTATTTCAACCCCCCCACCCCACCCCTCCTCTCCTCTGAACTTGTAGTTCAAAAGCGTTTTATTACGTTTTATTTCCGTAAAAGAAGACTTGAGGTCTGTCTCTCCCTCCCTCCCTCTCTCAGTCAGGAGACACCAGTGAGTGAGAGACTCTGTCTGTCTTCAGCCCACCATTGAGGTTACAATAATACATTCCAGGAATTTTGAAAGATTTCACTGTTTTATTTCATTTTTTTTCGGGTCTCGAGAAAAAAAAAAGGTTTGGGAGTCCCTCCTCCTCACAACTCCCCC